CCCAAAGCAGTGGCAGCCAGAAGCTGATCGATTCCTGTCTGCTGCTGCGCTCGCGTCTACAGCTTCAGCGATGCCGCATTGTGTGCCGATGCGCGTCATCGTGAAATCTGGAAGCTACCTTACACGTCCAGGGTAGCACAGTTCTCGGTCAGCCTTGAACACAATCATCACAACTGTTAGACTAGAGCAGTAACAATACGGCTATCTGCATGGAAAGCCGACTAAAAACGGTGAAGCAGTAAGTTCGAGGCGAATTCGGCTCGACCAGCAGATGGGTATCCCTCGACTTCTCGGATTTTCCCATGTCGCAAACTATAGAGAGCTTAAAATGACTCAAAGACACCTGTTTCCCACCTTAAATCCTCGATGACAACCACATAATATGAAGGTGGAGAAGACATCTTCATAGTATTGAATCTGTTCTCAAACTGTTCACGGGATACATCGCCAACGACAGTCAACTGCGCAAGGACGTCAAGGAACCTAAAGGAAAATCGCATTCCCTTGTTCAGTTGTACAATCATGAATTCCTGAATTCCATAAAGAGCCATGGCCTAATCAAAAATTGCTAGTCAAGTCGTCTGAACAAACCCGTTGTCATAATCGCTAATCTTCAATGGCCTGACAAGAAAGCCATTTGGCACTGCACCGACCAAATCTGCTGTCAACACTTCTGGATTGAACAAGTACTCGGAATCCGCTAAAATTCAAACACAACAATATGAACAAAAATACAGGGTATAACACCCGAATCTAGTTTGAAAAAAATTATTAAAACATATTCGGTTTAATAGGAGAGCAGTGAAAGTGCGTTCATACTTTGTGTCCAGCGTTCTGAGCGAACGGAAGCGTTTGGGCAACTAGGAAAGTTTAGTTATCGATCCAGCGTTTTGAACGAACGCTAGCGTATGCCAGCGAACGCTCAAAACGTTGGATTGACACCTATTTTTCCCTGGCCGCTAAAAGCGCTCAAAAAGCAGGCGTACGCTGCGACACCGACGCAAATTATGTACCCACTCTAACAATAAGCAGTAACTAAACAGTACACATACAACGACATATGTCTTTATCTTTTCCAGACTGATATTAGGCTCCCCTCTCTTCTCTTTGTTATACCAGCACTCTGATCGTTAAGAGCGCGTTCAGTTTCGCGATCGCACGATCCAGTTTGCGCGAACTGGATCGTGCGATCGCGAA